TCTGTTTACACCCGAATACAAATTGGATCCAGAGCCTCCAAGTCCTACAGAGGTAGGTAAGCCTTGCTAGTGCCAGGTTATAAATTACATGCAGCCACAAAACGACTGAAAGGATTTTTGACTTTCAAAATATGATCCAGAGTCTCCATTAGATGCTGGATGTGGCTGGAGATGTGGAGAGGTGCTTCCTGGTCATCAAGGTAGGGCAGACAAGGTAGCATCTATAGTCTGAACAAACCGAATGCAGGAGTGTGTGTGTGTGTGTGTGTGTGTGTGTGTGTGTGTGTGTACTGTGGGAAGGCAGGGGAAGGCTGAGTAACTGGGAGGGTCTCTAGATGTCCCTCCCTAACTTCAACTGTTCCAATTCTGCTTTAATTTACTATGTGCACAGTGGACGCCTTCTGCTAAAAGCAGCTTGAAACCCACTGCTGGGAGGGCATGGTGAGTTAGGAGGAACTGTGAGCGGAAAGGTGAGGTAAGATCTGCAGTTTAGGCATCCGGCTGTGCTTGCAGGGCGGAGCCTGGATTGGAGGGAAGCGAGGGCGGAGGTGCTCAGTCAGGTGGCAGGTGACTGCAGCCTTGCTGGCAGCCAGAACGAACGCGAAGGCGGTGGAGAGAAGGGGCAGAGTAGAAATGTACTTTGGAGGCAAAATCAAGGGCTCAGTGGCTCCTGGCATATGAAGATCAGGAAAGGAGGTCCTTCTGTAATTCCTGCTTCCAGTCTGGAGGGCGGTGGTGGGAGTTGCGGAGCTGGAGCACACAGCGGCGGGCAGTGTCTAAGGAAGGTAGATGCACCAGGTAGGGCAGCTCCATGGAACATTCCAAGCACAGACGGTGAACTAGTAGCTGCCTTTTCAAAACTGGTGGAGAGCTCTGGGCTCCAGATATAAACTCGGTTTTCAACATAGAAATGTCATGTAAAGTTACATGAAGGGATGAGGTAACCAAGGGCAAGTATAGCTAGAAAAGGGCCCAGGAATGTACTGTGGGAAAGCCAATGTTAAGAGGGGGCAGAGATGCCCGGCTGGCATGGCTCAGTGGTTGAGTGTCAACCCATGAACCAAGAGGTCCCTGGTTCGATTCCCAGTCAGGGCACATGCCCAGGTTGCAGGCTCAATCCCCAATAGGGGGCATGTAGGAGGCTGCTGATAGATGTTTCTGTCTCTCTTCTTCTCCCTTCCTCTCTCTCTAAAAATCAATAAAAACTTTTTTTTTTTTTTAAAAAAAAAAGAGGGAGCAGAGAAATTAGAGCCAGGAAAAGAAACAGGTCAGAGGCCATGTGCTAGTGGGCAGCTGGACTTGCGAGTCTGAAGTCGAGAGAAAGTACGAGGTTCAGATTTGTGAGTCATCAGCACCTTGGAAGTCATCGACATGATGGGAGAGGATGGGAGTGAGAAGAGTGAGCCTTGTCGGGAGAAAGGGAGGTGGTGAAGGATCAGCGGAGCCCTATGACACTGAGAACAGCGTAGGTTCAGGAGCTGGGTCAGTCACGGTACTTATGCAGGTCATAGCATAACTGACTAAAATTTGCTCGGACTTGGAATGGTCTCACAAAAGGTCCAGAGGTAGGCAATTCCAGGGTTGGTTCAATGGCTGAGCTGAGGGTGAGAATCCCGCTTTGGAGCTGGGCACCTGCACCAGCCCTGCCTTTGGGTGCCGCTCCAGCCCCCAGGCACGCAGGCCTCCTTGAGGTCGTGCAGCGGAGTGCATTCCTCTGATGACTTGCTTCTCCTCTGCACACAGAAGCGTCTGCCTGGAGGAGATCGGAGAGGTGTTTAGGAGCCTGGGGCTGGCTCTAACAAGGGTTCATCTCCCCGGGGGGCCGGCTGATGAAGATTAAGTCCCAGGCTCAGAATTCTGACCCCGGGACCTCACAGCAGAAGGCAGAGCCCAATCAGAAAGCCGTGGCTGCAAGTAGGGCACTGGCCTGGGCTTTGTCGTCGCCCGCTGAAGACATCCGCCGCTCCCGGCGCTTTGTGCCGGCTCCTGGCTGCGGCTCCATCAAGGCGACGGCCTCCGTCTGATCTCCTCCTTTGCAGGAGCTCGGGGAGAACAAGGCGGCAGCCTCATTTGTCTGTCTGAGATGGAGGCTCTCAGAGCCAGGCAGCTTGGAAAAATGAGGTGACAAAGGAGGCTGGCCAGCAATTAGGTAATGCCCGCCTGCCTGCAGGGCAGCCCCACATGGAACCTGTCCCGAGTTCACTGGGGTGTCCAGAGGAGAGCAGAGGCGTGGATTCTGTAAATGGAGGTGCACAGCCACGCATCAGAGGAACGACCAGGGTCTGTTGGGAAGGACGGACGCTGTTACATAGCCCATGACCTAACGTTGCTGAGCCTCACCTATACAGTGGGGTGGAGAAAGGCTCTATCAGCAATGCCTGGCTCCTTCCTTGTCTAGTGTGACTTCAGGCCAGCAGCTTGCTCGGAGGAGCTAACGCCGGGCCAGCAGCCCCCGGGCGCAGGCTGGGTGTGAGGACCTGCCATGGCCCTCCTCCCCCATCCTCCTTCCTCCTCCCCCCTCCTCCTCCCTCCTCCCCCCTCTTCCTCCCTCCTTCTCCCTTCTCCTCCCTCCTCCTCCACAGACCCTGGGAGCCAGAGGCCACGCTCAGAGCTGTGTGGAGCCCCCTCCTTGGCTATAGGACCCTCTGGAGATGGCAATGGCTCCTCCCACACGGCTGCCAATTCTTCCCCTTGCTTTCCTCCCAGCTTCTCTGTCATGGACAAACAACATCCTTGGCTTCTTCATTTCTCTGCATTTTCTCCCAGGCTAGTCCTCTTATTAAAATAAAAAATCTCCACTCAAGGCCCAGTTCTTCCTTCCTGCAAATTTCACTGCAACATGCTCGCCCTTGGGGGAGCCTTGGGCCCAATAAAGCCCCAGGGCCTCTCCTCCAAAGAGCTGAATCTCTCTCTACAGCCAGGTACTTTTTTGGGTGTTTGTTTGCCTTTTTTTTTTCTTTTTTCTTTTTTTTAAGTATATGCAAGCCTGTGTTTCTATGTGGGGTATGGGGAAGCCCAGAAGTACTTTGGTCCTGGGTTCAAGTTATGACTTCCCAAAGTACTAGCTGTGTGACTGTGGGCAAATCACTCAACCTCTCTGAACCTCAATTCCCTCATCAAATAATTGTTTATATAAATGTCTCTCCCATGTGTTGTCTCAGCAGCTTCTCAGAACAGCCTTACAAGGAATGGTTAGAAAGTCTATATGACATGAAGAAACAAAGGCTTTGACAAGTTCCCTTAACAGTGTCTCTGAGACACATAGCTGGTGACAGAACCTTGACTGGACTCTCAATTCCCTACTCTTCCTACAGGATCAGGGGTGGTGAGGATATCTTGCCGGCTACTTCTCAGAGCTGTTGTGAAGGTCAAAGGACTTCACCCGTTTGTTTATTTCACAGACATTTGTTGAGGGCCATGGAGTGCCAGCCTTGGTTTTCTGGAATGAAGGGTTCTGTAAGCTGTAAGGACCTGGGCAGATGCAAACAAGACTGGGGTCCAGGGTGTGGTCCCACTCCCCTAGGGGAGTGTGCCCAGCCGCCTTGCAGAAGAGCTTAGCACTTAGCAGAACACCTGGCCCAGCCCACCCCTTAGTCCTCGAGGAGCCATTCCCTTCCCTCTCCGGACATCCCTTCCTAGGCCCTCTCGCAGTCAGCCTCACCACACGCTGTCTGGGAGGTACCATCCACCCCATTTTACGGAGGGAGGAATGCAAGTCCCCAAGGATAGTGGGGCTCAGTCCTTGGCTGCATGTTCGAATTCCTGGGAATCTTTAAGAGCCCAATGCCCAGGCCAAACCCCAGACCATGAAATGAGGAACTGAGGCTGGGCCCGGGCAGCAGTGTTCATGCTAACGCTGCTGGCCAAGGGCAAGTGCAGCCGGGAGGAGAGCCGCTGTCTTGGTGGCCGGCGCCCGCCGTGGATGCTGATGCCCAGGAGTTGTCCAGGTCCTTGGTTCTCATTTGGGGTGGACTGGGGCTCCCTCCCGACCAGCCCTGGCCCTTTCTAGGTGGGTGCCCTTGGGTGTGGTAGGAGTTGAGGTGACCTGTGGGTCAAGTGACTGGCACCTGTCAGAGGCTTCATGGTTTCCCTTTCTCTTTTTTTTTTTTCCCTGGCTGCTGCCCAAACTTGGGCCCGTTTTCTCTTTCTTCACATCTCCTGCAGGGGAAGTGAAACTCAGATCAGTTCCCCCTCTCCCTGGCAGCACGGCCCAGAGGCTGGAGGGACCGTGGGAATCAGAGGGAGAAGCTTTGAGGGGCAGCTGGGTCTGGAACTGGCGGTTCCTTCTCCTCGTTTGGCCAAATCTGGGGATGGAGATTAAGCTCCTGAGGGCTGGGGCTTCCTTAAAGGGGACACTGGTCATCCTTCTCTGTCTGTGGAGGGAGGTCTGAGAGGCAAGGATTAAGAGCTCCCTGGAGGGCCAGCTAGCCAGCAGGCAGTCAGAACCACCAGCTTCCCCAGGTATTTGTGGGCCAAAGGCAGTTACTGAGGGTGGAGCCCAGCACGGTGCCTGGAGTGCTAGGAGCTCTGTCAACCTCTGCCTTCTGCCTTGAAATAGTATTCCTTGTGCTTTTCTTCTGTTCCTCCTGCCCCCCACCCCAGCTCTCTTCCTGCGGGACTTCTCCCCAAATCTGTTAGAAGCATCCGTGCTGCCTCAGGAAGTCCAGGGTTTGTTTAATATATTTTTATTGACTTCAGAGAGGAAGGGAGAGGGAGAGACAGAAACATCAATGATGAGAGAATCATTGACCAGCTGCCTCCTGGTGCCCCCCACTGGGGATCCAGTGTGCAACCCGGGCATGTGCCCTTGACTGGAATCGAACCCGTGATCCTTCAGTCTGAAGGCCGATGCTCTATCCACTGAGCCAAACCAGCTAGGGCAAGTCCAGGGTTTTAAAATGTTCAAAACAGGCCTTTAGGAATTCTCTTAGTGAGTTCAGGCTGCCATAACAAAATACCTCAGACTGTGTGGCTTAAACAACAGGAATTTATTTTCTTATAGTTCTGGGGGCAGGAAGCCCAGTATCAAGATGCCAGCAGGATTGGTGTCTGGTGGGAACCCTCTTCCTGGCTTGCAGATGGCCACATTCTCACTGTCCTTACAGGAGGAAGGGAGGGAGGGAGGGCAGGCGGGCACTCTGTGGTCTCTTATAAGGACACTAATCCCATCTAACCCTAAATACACCTCCAAATAAAATCGCATCATGGTTTAGAGCAGCGGTTCTCAACCTGTGGTTCACGACCCCTTTGGCAGTCAAACGACCCTTTCACAGGGGTCGCCTAAGACCATCCTGCATATCAGATATTTACATGACGATTCATCACAGTAGCAACATTACAGTTATGAAGTAGCAACGAAAATAATATTATGGTTGGGTCACAACATGAGGAACTGTATTTAAAGGGCCAGAAGGTTGAGAACCACTGGTTTAGAGCGTCAAGGTGTGAATTTTGAAGGACCCAATTCAGTCCATAGCTTTCCATCCTGTCCCCCAAATTCATGTCCTTCTCTCATACAAAACATATTCATTCCATCCCAACAGCCTTAACTCATCCCAGCATCAGCTCCAAAGTCCAGCCTAATCTAAACATCATCTAACTCGGAGACGGTAAAACTGGAGCTTTAACTCCTGAGGCAAATTCCTGTCCTGCTGTGAACCTGTGGAACCAGGTGAGCACATGCTTCCAAAACACATGGTGGGACAGGCACAGGGCAGGCATTTCTGGTCCAAAGGGAGAAACGGGAAAGAAGGAGGGGGTGATGGGTCCGAAGAAAGTCCAAAAGTTAGCAAGGCAAATCCCACCAGGTCGCCAGGCTCAGACTCATCCTCTTCGGTTCAGTGCCCTGCCTTCCAGACCCACGGGGGCAGTGTCCCACCTCTGCAGCTCTTCCAAGTGGGGGGAAGGGGGGAGCCTCCCTCAAGGCTACCGAGGGGGTGGTCTGATCACCTCTGAACGGCCTTCAGGGTCCTTCTTCCCTTTCCTTGAAGAACAGCGTTCATTTCCAAAGGAATGGCTCTTTGGGCTGGCCCGTAGCACCTCAGAAGTCCAACAGGCTTCCTCCATTCTGTCCTCTCTCTCTGTCTCCTTTGGTTCCTCCTGGCAGCACCTTTGCTGGTATGATCCCATCTCTATTCCTGGATTCCACTGAAAGGACTGATTGGATCTCTGGTCACACCCAAGATCTCTGTATGAAATGGGTGTTCAGCCACACCCTATGTTCTATCAGAACAATCTCTCTCTCTCTCTCTCTCTCTCTCTCTCTCTCTCTCTCTCTCTCTCTCTCTCTCCCTCTCTCTCTCTTGCAATATGGCAGACTTCTCCAAGTCTCCAAGTTCTGGTTCCTTTTTGCTTAACAGGTCTTTCTTCCATTCATCTCTTCCTTTTGCATTTCACTCTAAGGATTCAGGAGAAACCAGGCTTTGTACTTCAGTACTTTGCTTAGACATCTCCTCAGCTAAATATTCAATTTCATGGCTCCAAAACTGTACCTTCCACAAAATACTAGAACACAGTTCAGCCAGGCTCTTTGCTATTTTCCACAAGGATCGCCTTTTCTGTAGTTTCCAATAACATGCTTGGCATTTACATCTGAATCCCCTTTAACACCTGTATTTCTAGCATGCACAGAACCTGTGTAAGAAGAGCGGCCCCACATGCCAGGACAGTGCCCAGCTGCCATGCGGGAGGCCGGTCAGCACCTGGAAGCTGAGCCTGCAAACCATCCCCCCTGCATTCAGACGGCACTGGGCGGGGAGCCACATCAGGGTGCGTCCCTCACTCTGGATGGGCCTCTGCTGAAGGCTGCCTGCAGGTCACCAGGGGATCAGATGCGTGTTTGTACTCAGTTTCCAAAGCCCCTCTAACTGGTCCCATATAAACACCAGTTTTCAAAGGCCCAGAAGAGCCAGAACGTCTCCAATGGAAGGGAGCCTTTGCACCCAGAGGCGGGCTGATGGGGGGGCAGAGGGGGAGAATCCCACCATCCCTGCATTGGTGGGTCAGGAGAGTAGAGCGCCCCTCTCCATCTTATGGGATGCATGTGACTGGCAGCACAGGGTAGCCGTTTGGTACCCAGGCCTGGCAGATTGCAGTGTTTAAGTTCTGGCTTTGCCTCTTCCTAGCAGAGTGACCCTGGGTTAATAAGTTTCTCAATATCTCTGTTTCAGTTGTCTCCCCTGAGAGATGGGAGATGAAAATAATTCCCATCTCATGGGGTGACGATAAAAATTAAATGAATTGATTCAAGTAAAATGTTTATACTAGTTCCTGGCACACAGTAACTCCTCAAAGGAAAAAAGGTTAGCCATTAGGGTGCACTCATGAGACCGTGCATGGCTAGTATCTGACAGCCAATCAGGAGTGAGGAGGCAATGAAGAGGCTGGTCAAGAGCAGGGGCTGCTGGGGGAACAGGTGTGGCTTGAGATGGGGTGGCCTTCCTACTTAGTCTCTCTGAGCCTCAGTTTCCTCATTTGTAAAGTGGGAATAACACAAGCAAATCCCTTCTTATAGTATCTGGTGGTAGGAAGTAGATAAAAATTAAATGAATTGATTCAAGTAAAATGTTTATACTAGTTCCTGGCACACAGTAACTCCTCAAAGGAAAAAAGGTTAGCCATTAGGGTGCACTCATGAGACCGTGCATGGCTAGTATCTGACAGCCAATCAGGAGTGAGGAGGCAATGAAGAGGCTGGTCAAGAGCAGGGGCTGCTGGGGGAACAGGTGTGGCTTGAGATGGGGGGGCCTTCCTGCTTTGTCTCTCTGAGCCTCAGTTTCCTCATTTGTAAAGTGGGAATAACACAAGCAAATCCCTTCTTATAGTATCTGGTGGTAGGAAGTATAAAATAAATCTTTACAACTACATTTTTGAGATGAGAAAACTGAGGCCCAGAGACCTTAGAAAGCTACCTTAAGTTACCAGCGAGTACGTGTGAAAGCTGAGATTTGAGTCAAGCCCCTTTGCCTTCCGAGTCAGGAGTCCACACTTCAAACAAATTGTCGAAAATATAATGTATTCATCCTTTTTATTTTTCCATTCGGGGCTATGAACACGATTAAGATGACATTTGCCAAGCAAGGAGGGAAATTGCTCCTAAACCTAATCTTCATTGAATTTTTTTTCTCTATCCTCCTTTGATAAACTAGCAACCTTTAAAGTAGAGCTCATATAAAAAGCCATTCGAGCTGCCATCTACCTAGACATAACAGGCTCTTCTGGGGGTGCATGTCCGTTGGTGGCTGAGTAGGCTAAAGCTACAATATATCCAAACCCATATACTGGAATGACATCCCTAAAATCAAGAGGAAACTAACAGTGGCCGGTGATGCAGCTCTCAGGAGGCAAACACTACCACACACGTAGGAACTCCTGCCTGAAGTTGTGGCCGCGCTCATACATGACACAGGCTCGGGGAGCCTGGGGTCCCTGGACGGGCAGCCACCTCTGCCAACTGCTCTTTGCGGCTCCGAGGGTAACCCCAACTTATGTTCACTGAGTAGCACCCACTGTAGTTCACATGTATGTCCACGGGAACCTCTACAAAAGCAGTGACTCTCCAAGGGAAAGTCTACCAAACCACTGCTTACAAAACACGTGGGCACTTGCTAACATGCAGATCCCACAGCTGTACGCCCCCTCCTCTGCGCACCAGGCCTCCCCGGGACCCCAGGCCAGCACACTCAGGCCACACCCCACTCCCCAGGCCGCTGTGGGCCATGGAGCTGCGGGGATGGCCCTCCCTGGACCATCGCTATGCAGCTGCCGCGGATCGTGAGCCCCTGAAGGTGGCCTCCTCGGGGACAGCGGCTCCTGGGGCGGAGGGCGCTAGGGGTGACCTTGGTGATGTACTGCACGCGGTGGGTAACAGGCTTTGTACAAGAGGAGCCCCGCTTCCTGGCCTCGGTCCCTGCAATCCCATTAGACAGGGCGGCCTCGGGAAGGGGGCGCATTCTTCCGGATGGGGGGCGGGGGCACGTGGCCACACGCCTGGCGGGGAAACCGTGACTCAGCTTCGGAAGGCGGCGCCCAGGCCCGGGCTCTGCGGGGCAGGAGCAAAGGA